TGCTAAAGTCTATCCAGTAAACAGACATAACTTTACAAGCATAACTAAAATACTAAAAAATCCAAATTTCTCAATAAAATCCATGTAGATAAGTCTTGTAAATATGCTCAATATAAACTGCAATTACAAATTATGAAAAATATCAATATTTGAAGACACTGCAGTCATATATAGACAGAATATAATATTTATGAAAAGTAATCAATTACATAGATCAAATGTTGATGAAAATTGTTCTGTTAGGCAGGAGGTATATAACTAATTATCTTGTGAACATTAAGAACCTAAAAACATTTCCACAATGATTATTTCAAGAAGATTCAATTATGTTTTCTTGAATTAAATTTCTGATATCTCTCAATGTAGGATAAATGCATCATAATTAAAAAAAAATGGGCTGTTGGAATGCATCACTGGGGATCAAAATAATATGAAATTGGGGTGGGACACCATGGTGACTGTTTGCGCATGCGTGCAGAAAAGGGAGCGTGTTTGTTTACATTTATGACTTAACATATCACTTGACATGTTTATACCTTTTTTAAGCAATTGGACACACGTCAGAACAAATGAATGTATAATTAGAGATTAATAATAGAAATAATTAACATTTTAATTTAGCTGTCGATAACTACCTCCAGCTGTCGATAACTACCCCTGTCATTAATGCCACCAAAACAATGATTTCTCCCGCGATTCGTCACATGTACGTTTATTGCAGATGATGAAATAGAGTACGTTTCCCGACTTCTTCGAAATGCCATCATAAAATAACTTACGCAAAACGGTAAACTGGAAAAACAAATTTGAAGCTTAGACTGTCGATAACTGCCTCCATTGCTCTACTGGTGTTTTGAATTTGAATGATAACATTTCCTACCCGTTTTATCTTTTGAACCTGGTTGAGATTTAGATTTTCTCTTAGATGCTCCCGTTTTTTTAGCATGGCTTGAGCTTTGATTGGACAATCGTGGCATGGTTTCATTCTGAATCTGACCCAACGTTCAAATGAAGCCGCTCATATCAACAAGACGCTTGAATCAGTCATCATTCAGACGCTTTCTTTGCGGTTCGGGGTACTACTAAAGCTATGATAAATTGCACTGCACAACTTCTGAAGATGTCTTGGGTATAACTTATTGAGATGTTGGTGTCCTTGTAGGAACTTTTGTGTATCCTACTGTCTATCCTCCATTAAAACAGTATAGGCTGCTTTTGCGTATCAAAGTTGAACTACATAGGGTTCCAACAACGAAGTGAGAGGCGTGCTATTATACCAGTGATACAGTGTATAAGGTGGCAGTACCCAAATCGGATCGGTACCCAAATCGAATCACTTTTTGCAAAAATGCTTATAAATAAATAAATGTGTCAACAAATCAGTTATAACAATTATTTAGTCTTAGAATATATAGCCATGCACCATTTTTTGACTACAGATAATTAAGTTTTAAGTTCAAATAACGCAAGAAAACGTAATTCAAACTGAAATGTCAATGTTTTGATTACGTTTTTAAACAAGAGGCCCAATGGGCCTGCATCGCTCACCTGGTATTAATCTCACACTTGTAATCTTAAAAGCGGACTAAAATACAGCTACAGGCAGAATATCAGTGTGACCTTGAATGTCAAACAATGACATTAGGTTGAAAGTGGGTCAAGGTCATTCATTTGAACAAATTTGGAAGCCCTGATTGCTACATGCCAAATATCAGTACCCTGGGCCTTTTGGTTATTGAGAAGAAGTTGTTTGAAGATTTTAAGTCATTTGACACCTGTGACCTTGAAAGTTGGTCAATGTCATTCATTTGAACAAAATTGGTAGCCCTTCATCCCAGCATGCTACTGGCCAAATAGCATCACCCTGGGCATTTTGGTAATTCAGAAGTTGTTTAAAGGTTTTAAACATATTTGACCCCTGTGACCTTGAAAATGGATGAAGGTCATGTATTTGAACAAACCTAGTAGTTCTTCAACCCAGCATGTAACTGGACAAATCTCATCACCCTAGGCATCTCGATTATTCAGAAGAAGTTGTTTAAAGGTTTTAAACATATTTGACCAGTGTGACCTAGAATATAAGTCAAGGTCATGTATTTGAACAAACTTGGTAGACCTTCATCCCAGCATGTTACTGGCCAAATAGCATCACCCTGGGCATTTTGGTTATTCAGAAGAAGTTGTTAAAAGGTTTTAAACATATTTGACCCCTGTGACCTTGAATATAAATCAAGGTCATTTATTTAAACAAACTTGCTAGCCCTTCATCCCAGCATGCTACTGGCCAAATTTAAGCACCCTAGGCCTATTGGTTATTCAGGAGAAGTTGTTTAAATGTTTTAAACATATTTGACCCCTGTGACCTAGAATATAAGTCAAGGTCATGTATTTGAACAAATTTGGTAGCCCTTTATCCCAGCATGTTACAGGCCAAATATCATCACCCTAGGCCTCTTGGTTATTCGGAAGAAGTTGTTGAAAGGTTTTAAACATATTTGACCCATGTGACCTTGAATATAAATCAAGGTCATTTATTTGAATAAAATTGTTAGCCCTTCATCCCAGCATGTTACTGGCCACATATCATCACCCTATGCCTCTTGGTTATTCAGAAGAAGTTGTTTAAAGAATTTAACATATTTGACCCCTGTGACCTTGAAAATGGATGACTGTCATTTATTTGAACAAACTTTGTAGCCCTTCATCCGTGCATGCTTCTGGCCAAATATCATCACCCTAGGCCTTTTGGTTATTCGGAAGAAGTTGTTGAAAGGTTTTAAACATATTTGACCCATGTGACCTTGAATATAAATCAAGGTCATTTATTTGAATAAAATTGTTAGCCCTTCATCCCAGCATGCTTCTGGCCAAATATCATTACCCTAGGCCTTTTGGTTACTGAGAAGAAGTTGTTTAAAGTAAAATGTTGACGACGGACGGACGGACGATGGACGCCGCACCATGCCATAAGCTCACTTGGCCTTTACGGCCAGGTGAGCTAAAAATGGCGCGTTCGACGACTATGTACTCTGTTTTGGACTACAGTAATAAATTCACTTTAGAAATACTTTTTGTCATATAAATTCTAAAGGTCATCATAAAATGTTAATATGCTGACAAAAAAATATTCGTTTGAAGCGTACGATACTGCAAAATTCAAGCCGTGATCCGATTTGGGTCCCGATATTCGCAAAAACAGGAGACGCTGATTGGTGACTTCAGAGCGTTCGGTTGTCTTGTCAATGATATAATTCAATGTGTGCCGAACTCGCCTCCTTCATCAATGCTGGGCTGATATCGCTGCTTATTTTCAGTTGCCTTGTGTATTGCTGCTCTGTGAGTGTTCTAATTTTTACCTCTGGAACATCTTCTGCTTTTTGTATAATATTATGTCCGCCCAGAGACATATATACAAAGACATAAGTACATACGTCTCTGTATTCGGTTTACCAGACAAGTCAACCATCAGCAAACTGAAGATAAATCCCAGCTGAAAGGCTACGGTCAACCTCTGGGACTGGTGGTTTACCAGACAAGTCAACCATCAGCAAACTGAAGATAAATCCCAGCTGAAAGGCTACTGTCAACTTCTGGGACTGGTGGTTTACCAGACAAGTCAACCATCAGCAAACTGAAGATAAATCCCAGCTGAAAGGCTACAGTCAACCTCTGGGACTGGTGGTTTACCAGACAACATGAAGACAGCGCACCAGTACATTTGATGAACGTTGAAGTTGGAAGCATTTTTTTTAAACATAAAAAGAAACGACAGAATACCAAAGTGTTAACAAAACCACATTTAGAACGCCAATGTTCATAAAGCAAGGGCAAAATATGAACAAAGGAAAGATCCTTGAAAAAGTACGAAGCCATTTCGACTGTTCTGCTTCATCGACAACACCCACCATGTAGTCACCTCAAATCCAACTCACAGAGAGATAATGACAAAACAAGAATGCACAACAATGAGCACAAATAAAAATAGCGAGATCATTATGTCAACCAGAAAACTTGTCCCTATCCTTCATCCACCGGCACCTTTGTCTCCTCCAGCTTGTGAGGTTGTCAGCAGTCGATAACTATCCTGGAAGTCATGCTATTCAGAGCAAGACCTTGAATAATAATTCCCTCCTCTTAACAGACACATCAGATATTGGGGTTGTATTTAATATAAACAATAGGCACAAGGGTCTTTAGTCGCTCACCTGGATATATCGGAAATAAGGTTGGAAATCTCGTTTGTATTTCGATAGAAGAATCCGAAGGAAATGTTTGAAACTCCACTTGTATCAATTTGATATTGATATGGGCTAAGGATATTACCTCAACAAGTGAAAATCTGTCTATTAGTATGAAAAGTGACGATGTTTAAAGCAAATCGGTCAATTTTACCCGGCACTTCTATCTCTAAGTCCCTGTCCTCATGTTTCAAGGTTGTATAGCTTTTGATTCCTCTGAACTAAGCATGGTGCCACTACAATTGGGTTGAAACCTGCCTAGTAGTTTAGAAGCAAACCAGCCCATTTGACCCCTTTTATCCGGACCATCAGCCCCCAGGAGTGTCCGCCCATTTATTTGTTTAATTTTTGATACCAATTATCTTGGCATACCATCACTAAAATTTTGGTTGAAATCTGCCCGATAGTTTGAGAGAAAATATCATTTAAAGCAAATCACCATTTTACCAACCCCTCAGTTCTAAATAGTGTCATCCCTTTATTTTCCACAATTTTTTATCCCCATGTCGTTTGGATGCTAGCATCAAAATTTGGTTTAATTCTGATCGGTAATTTGGAAGGAGATGTTAAAAGCAAAAGTTGACAGATGATGGACAGACAATGGACAAAGCATCACCACATATAAACATATGCTCACCTTGGTCCTTCATACAAGGTCAGACAAAAAGTAAAAATAAATTCAACCATTGTTCACTTCATTAAACATATGCAAGATTTAATTTTTCAGTAAGAATACATGTATTAATTAGTGATATTTTTTCACCAGAAACACTGTTTCACTGCTCAGTAACATGGACTTGTTAGGAAGTGTAGTACTAAATCACAAAATATACACTAGTTCTGGTGTGACAAAATTTAAAAAGGAAACAAGATGTTCATCTGACTGTTTTAGATTTCAATCCGTTACACTACACTTCGAAATCTGAAGTTTAAAACATATTTGGAATAATTGTCTCCCTATCCATTGTACATATGTTAAATTGTAGTAGTGATATAGTTTGTTACTCTCCCACATATCTCATCCAACTCTGTCCTCTCAATTGTCTTTCACTGCACTTCCCTCCCTTATATAAGTCAAACCTCTTACAAACACGATATTGTAAAATTTTACATCTACTTTCTCTCCCATACATCTGGTTGCTCGCTCACTCTCTCTCACACCATCGCCTCAGATCACATCTACAACTTATACCTCATATTCTTAAACAAGGGTCATTAGAGCTGATATGGATCTCTGAATTAACAGAGAATATTCAGTACAACTGTTGACAGTCTGTGTCAGAAACTCTTGTGTGTCCAACAACTGTAACAACTTTTCATTGGTATTTGTTGTGTTGGTCCCTGCTGCCTGATCAACTCTGATCTAAATTGTCTCTTTTTATCGTGTGTTCTGTTAGGGAAGATCATCTCTGTCGGTTCTGTACGGCCTCTTTCCTGGCAGCGTCCTGTAGAAGCTGTGTGTCACACTCATCAGCTGGCAACTGGACGTACCTCACAACTGATCCTCTGATGAAACAGTTCTTCACAGACAACTAAACAATACAAAAAGTTACATCCACCATAGTAACCGTTTGTTTACAGTAATATTACAGCTGATTTGTATTTTGATTAATTGGGTTCATTACTCTTTACATTTCATGCTAAAAGATGTTTGCTTCAGGAAATCTAGGATACGTTACATTGACGAAGAACAAGCAAAGTATCTATAACTGAACTATTAACGCATACACCAAGTTTTTGTCTGGATCGGTGGCAGAGTACCTTATTAATATCATATGTGGATATCTGTCTGGGTCTAGGACAAAAGTTAGCGTATATGTTTACTTGTTTGGTTCTTGACTTTACAATGTATGGATATGTGTTCAGAATTTGTCTGGGTCTTGGACAGAATACTTACCATGTGTGGATATTTGTCTGGATCTGTAACTGAGATGTCTGTCAGTTTGATGTTCAGGAACTGATCCACAGAATGTAGAGTACCACATATACTGGAGGAAAAAAGCATACAGCTATGATGACATTAAAATTTATTTTATACTAATTTAAACAGATTCTTTATTAAGTTAAAATTCAGAGAAAAAGACAACAACATATTTTCTAACCTGGAATCTTCATTAAATCTTCCATTTTCACTTATCCTTGAAGTTTAAGTTTTAATCTACAGATCAATGTAATTATAATTACCTGAGGTCATTTTTCAGCTCTACCACCACATCTTTACCCACTAAAGATTTGAAGAATGAGTAGAACAACTGCAACACAATAAAGCATAGAGGTATAATAATACTTATTTATATAACTGTCAAAAATGAAAAATAACATCATACTGATAAACCATTTTGAAATATACATTGAAAACAATAATTAACTATTGCATATGATAAAAATTTAAGGTTTGTTGAATTTTGTTTTCCAACTCCAAAATCGAAACATTTGTTTAAAGCCCTTGATTATAATGATTTGTGTGTAAGTGAATGCAATTTGAAAACGTATAATTTATCACCTCTAACTCTTTCAAGCCATGTGTCCACCATTTTCAGGCAGTTACTTTTAATGTCAAGGTTACAACATTAAGACATAACTACTAGGGCTGTCACAATATATCGGAAAACAGGTATATCACAATACACAGGTATTATTATATCGTTTCTTACAACAGTACTGAGATGAAATATTGTGGTATCGCAATTTGTTCAAAAGCATATTTTTATGTACCTGCTTGGTGTTTTAACTTTTTAAATTACTACAAATTCTAACAGATATGCCAATAAGCATAAATCAGGCTTTCAATAGTTTAATTTTGTAAGACGGTTGGTTGTCAAAAATCTAAAATATATGTAACCATATTATATATGATTAAGTTTGATAACATTCTGACAACAACTTATTATAAAATTGACCACATCCTTCCTATTACAATATATCAGGATACGTATCGCATTTTATTCTTTCTGTATTGCAATATATCACGATACACTCTTGGAGTATTGTGACACCTCTAATAACTACAAGTAATTAGATTGCCATCTACAATATCGTGATACACTCTTGGCTTATTGTGACACCCCTAATAACTATAAGTAATTAGATTGCCTGTAGATGGCAACAAGGCTTGAAAATGTTAACAACAATAAACTGTTTTGGCATTATTGATGATTTTTCAATATGCATATCCAAATGCAACATCAAAACAGTATAAGAAATTTGTTTAAGGTTTATCAGTTCTCCTCAATTATTGCAGGATAGAGGCAGTTTAGTAAAAGAACAATGTAAATATGACCATTGGTGAAACTGTTTGTTGAAAACGTTCTTGCTTTTGGCAGGGATGTGTAGTGGAGGGATACGCAACTTCCTCTTTGCCTTAGTAAATATGTTCCGAGTGAGGTTGGCTTATCTCCCTTGATCGGTGTTCTATGATACGAGCGCCCCCCTCGTTTTGAAAAACTATTTCAAACTTTAAGTCAAGTTTTGCTGGGTCGATTGAACTGAAACTTTGTAGGAATGATCGACTCATGGTCCTGACAAAGTGTTGTTATTTTTCGGGTCGATCAGAAATCCAATATGGCTGACACGGCTGCCATTTTGAACAAAATATTTAAAACTTAAAAACAAGTTCTAAAAGGCCGATTTAACTGAAAATCGGTCTAGGAATGATCAGCTCATGGTCCTGACAAACTTAAGTTAACGTTATACTGAACTATTTTGTACTCAAATTGGTACATATTTCAACAACAAAAATAAATACTGTAGGACTCGGGTGACTGTTTAGGCCCATGGCCCTCTTGTTTATCTTGTTTTTGTAGGTTGTTTATATTACATCTGGTGGAAGTAATAGATGGTGTCACAGGACCCGATGTATTGATTTATTGCCATATTTTTTCATTTTCTGTGACAGTGTTCAACGTCAACCGGATGTTGTTTTTTGAGATTCAAGATTTTGTTTTGCTAACCCAACAAAGTTGTGTTTCTAATTCCTCCTCAACGGAATGGTTTACATTAGTATGAAGTATATCCATGGAAAGCTTAATTAATTTAATTTTATATTTTATTTTAAATTTTATTTTGTGAGGGAGTAGTCTTATGGTGGTGAGTTATTATTAATTTGTGGGTTTTTTTGTTTCTAAAAGAGCTACTGTAATATGTTTGTATCACTTTGCATTTGTCATTTTTAGTAAAACCATGTTGGCATCTCGCTGCTTAGATCAAATTTTCTGACAATAGGCCTATATTCCACCATTTTTCAAACTTGGGACATCAATAAATTAAAAAGATGAGTAATTTTTGCAGATGTTATTTGTGGTATGTCAGTGTTTTTGTTGGTCTGGAAACTGACCACTACAGTACTGTGGCGGTACCCAATCTGGGACACTTGTGGGAAAGGGTCTAATGAAAATGGCACATAATACAAACAAGCAATTTTATTTTTGTAATTTTTATTTAATGATACTCTGAACTGTATGCCGACGTATTTGACTGCCGAACCTGCACAATTACAGGGGTGTACAATTTAATATATTGAGTACTAGTCAACTACACATCCCTGTCAAAATCGTCGTCTGAAACGTCCGACTCACTATATTCTGTAAACTCTCCAAGCAAGTGTTCTAAATCTATGTCATCATCCCAAGACAGAAACTCAGACGTTGATGTGATGTGTGATTCATGATGAGACAATTTTAAAAGCGCTGAAGTATCCAATTGTGAATGCTATGAACCGACTCTCCCTCAGAGTCCAAACCAAAATATAGCACAAACTCAAGATACAGACGATAATATCTCCCGACACAACTAGTGTACAGCTAGACATGGTGGCAACGATAACATTTCTCCTGTAATAAAATGAAGACCTACTAATACACAGACCAGTAAACTTGGATAACCGCGATGCGCAGACAGGCCAGAGTAGGCCCTCGATGACTTCACAGTCCAGTGAACAAACACAAAAGCAACGATAAGTGTTCGCCACTGGACTCGGCGTTGCAAATCCCTCCACTACACATCCCTGCTTTTGGCAATATTTTATGTCACAATGACATAAATGTAAAGCACTGAGTGCAGACCTTGGTGGAACAATGAGGTATTGCCTAACATGTTTATCAAAAGTTCTTCTATGGTTTAAAATTTAAAGGCAAGACAAGATCTTCACTATATAATCAGATAATGCCCTTATTTGTATATTTTAAAAGTTACCATTCAGACAATATACCATCAAAAGAACTGAAAGAAGGAGCAATACATGTACGGTGAAACGGTTTGGAACGTGATAAACGACCATGGTCTTCTCCCTTAAGCGATTACGGCCACAGAGAAACTTCTATTGTTATTCGTCAAAACTGGTGATGCTATCAAAAATAACACTCGTGTTACTTTCGGTAAAAGACAATACCCAACAGTGATTTTCAATGTAAGACAAAGTTATAAACTGAGAAAACTACTTTTAACGGGATATTCTAGCATTGTTCTGAATAATAATTGAAGTCGGCACCATATAATGTCGATGCCTGTGCGGGACGTTGTGCGTACTTACCATCTTGCCGGTTTTTTGGCAACGTGATTTTGCGAGAACATTTTACTTCCGGTTAAAATAATGAACTCGAGTTTTCGTGTAAAATGCACTGTTATATGAATGTTTAATGGATGAACTTTAATCTGAGGGGAAGGAAGAAAAATAAATTAATGGTTTGTACTATTTTGCATTGCTTTAAGTCTTTTTTGTTATTTTACTTTTTCTCTTATAAACAGGAAGTTGTATATCACGTGATATTTTTCGAGATTCGGCGAAACTCGCACTGTCACGACGGACTCAATATCACAGATAGCTACATAATGAGCGTTCTTGCAGCTCCTGGCCTTGGAGATACATACGGGTCTGATAGGCCGAAAGAAGTTTATTTCAGTCCATACGCCCAGAATGGAGGGTATGTATGATATGACCGCTGTCTGTGTATTTAGGACAAATGCAGATTTCGTTTTCTGGATACAAATGATATAGGAAAATATTCATATACACATCATACAGTTTCTATTTGTCCGTCACCTGTGTGTTATTTAAATACATTACAGTATATCGATTGAACTGTGTCGCCATGAAGACCTGGCTCCTAATTTTTCAAGATTATTAAATGTTCATCACACAGATCAAAGAGGAGATAACTGGGCAGATTTAAGGACTTGCCACGGATCATAATACACATGTTTTTCAATACCTTACTGTGTAAATTATAGTTACAATACAACGGAGCAGTTTATCCCAGTCCAAACGGTTGTACCGGTTAGACCAGAGTTGTTCGTTAAAGAAATAAGGTCGGACCCAGTAATCTGATATGCTATATTCATGCGAGCCTTGACAAAGCCTTGCAAGGCCTGCATAAACATTTGCAGGTCCACTAGGATTTATACCCAAAAATGTTACATTTAAAACGGACATCCTGGTTGTTCTGCATAAACGAAGTGTGAGACGATATGTCGACACTCCATATCGTGAATTAATTGGGAAATGTATGTGTAATCACATGTCCTTCAAAATTAGAGAATCTGATACAAGGAGGTGAATTGACTTGCAGGAAGACGCTGACATGAGACCAGACAACTTGAAGAAAGTCATATATAAAGCACATGAAATATGTTTTGTGTAGCGACCTCACATGTGCATATCATGCAATACACCATTTTCACTGTCAAGCGAGTTACACTCTGTTGAGAAGTTAATTTTACAAATGCAGTGCACTAACTGCTTGAAAATAGTGTTTTGTAAAAGTATCGAGATCCCTATGAAAATGCATGTGTGGGTGCAAGTGAAAACGGTATACAATACAACTTACAGGAGGCACGGTATTCTTAAGTCGGAATTATTCTGATGGTTTTTTTTTTTTTTTAATATCGGCCTTCTATAATATGCGGGAAATAAGCAACCCGTGCCAGGGTCTTCAAACTGATATTGTAGAAACATATCATCACTTTCACACACATGGATCGAAAGATCTATTCTTTATGTACAAGACGAACAAACAACCAATACAATCACTAAAACCCTATTTTATTTCCCGCATATTATAGAGGGCTGGAGTTCTGACGTTAATCAACGACAGACCGATATAAAAAAAATATGATAAAACGTCAGAATAATTCGTACTAGGTAGTCTAGTGGCTTGTAACCGAAGGGTTATGGGTTCGAGTCTTGGCACCGCACTGTGTTGTATCTTTTAACAAGATACTTTACTCCACTTGTTCCAGTCTAGTCAGCTGAAAATGAGTTTGTGGTTTGGCAGTGCTAGAATTATTGAATGCTAGCTGTATAAGCGCCGAAATGGCAGCACAGGCTGTATGCTCCCCAGGGAGTTTAGAAAGACATTGGCTCGTTGCAATAACCAAGGATGATAATTTGTGAACCCTTTTGAGAGTACCTACATAATAACCTCAAATTATTATTTATTATTATTACAATGTCATAGCCTCTGTAAATATACCATGCGCTAGCGGGCTGTGAAATAGTGTCCGAAGTGTACAGGATTGATAGTAATTTGATTCTATGAAAGAACAAAACATTGTCACTTTTGATAACATAGTTTTAATTATTTACCTTCATTTTTTATATATGTTAGGAGATAACTGTCATTGTGAAAATTGTATCCCTCTGCAAAAAGTTGGTTTTTCTTCTTCAAGGGAGACAACTCTCGCTACGTAAAATAAATAAATTATGAAGTCATTGTGTTAATTTGTGAATATTTTGTTTAGTTTTCACTCTTTTTGTATGAAACTTGTGTCCTTTTTGCTTGTAGATAATTATTTTTATCCATACAAATCAATAAAAAAACACTTTCTGTAAGTAAAATATTTGTAGTGTTAACTAGGAATGCTTCTTTTCATTTTTTTTTATTGTTATGAACAGTACCACACAACCAAAAATTGGGAAAATATTAAAATTGACAAAAAACTTGCTTAGATTTTCATAAAAGCAAGTTGCATAACCATTCTGTGAAAGTTTTAACAAATTCTGCTAGTTAATTGTGAAAGGGTGGGGCCTCCCTTCACTATTTTATATCTAAAACGTACATGTTTCTATTTTCAGTTACTTTTATTTAATAATGTTAGGTCCCCCAACCAGCTGAAAACATTGGGAAGTGTTAAAATGATTCTTAACAGATTTGACAGATTTCAGTTGTCAGACTTAAGACAGACTTTGAAAAATATATATGCAAGGTCAACTGTTCATTCAGTGTCTTTTCATGTAGCTACCTGGAAAATGGATATACATGTAGTAATATTTTCTGTTCACATTGCTTTGACATCATGTCATAAACTATACTTTTTCTTTTTCAGGACCACACTTGCTGTGGCTGGTAATGACTTCTCTGTGATAGCCTCTGACACAAGACTTAGCGAAGGCTTTTCCATACACAGTAGGACCAACCCCAAAACAGTCCAGTTGTAAGTAATGTTGTCCTCTTTTGGTTTGGGGGATTTGGAAGATTTATATATTGTACAGCTATTTTTGTTTTTTTTCTACTTTATGTTAAATGATGCATTGAACAGCATTTGAAACTTTAAATACTAGAATTTAAATTACTTTATCAGCCAACGTATATACTTCAGTTAAGACATGTTATTTTGTTCATAGAAATCAGATCTATGTATATATATATAGTATCAAGTTTAATATGAACACACTAATTGCAAATGCTTAATTTAGAAAAAATGATCAGATTTTGTCCATTTGAAAGGCATTTTCCTGCCTTGCTGTATAACTGATCTACACTTAGTCAGCTAAGGTCCCATGGAGTTCATTATAGACCCATTTCCCTTCTGATGAAAATATAACCAGTAAAACATGTCTGATCCACAGGACAGGAAACACAGTGCTAGCCTCATGTGGCTTCTTTGGAGATGTTCTCACATTAGTAAAAATTCTGAAAGCAAGACTGAAGGTAAGCTATTGCTTTGAGAACAATGTAGTCGGCACTAGGTATGACTGTCTAGTGTGCAAGTAAAGGCCTAAGAAACAAAGGTGAACTACTGACAAACTTGTTCAAGGTATTCTAATGCAATGCTAATGTATGACCAAAATCCATGCAGAAAGGAAGTTGCTAGAGTGATAACAAAATGTGAAGGAATTTATGTACTTTCTGACTCACCATTGGATTTTATTTATAGAATCTGTTGTCATCAATCTAGCAGCATTATTCCTGCAGATTTTGATCAAACTTTATGTACTGGTCATATACTATAATACATGTACCTTGAACAAGCTTGTGTTTCAGGATACCAAGGGTTGTCATTACTATTCATAAAAATCTTAAGAGCATTGCTCTATCCAATTAATTACTGCATGGATTTTGATTAAAATTATATATTGTTCAAGTATGATAATAACGCAAAACAGTTTGTTTCTGAATAGATTTTCATGTAGAATACCTCAAACAACTTTTGTGCTATTGCTAGAGAGAAACAACAATTGACTATTAAATATAAAATCTTTAACATGCAAGGGGGGTGTATTGTTTGTGATGCCTTGTTGAATACATGTGTTATTATCAGTATGTTAAATCTATATAGAGGACACATGTTGTTGTTGATAGATCTATGAGCAGGATCACCACCAGAAAATGTCCACTACAGCCATTTCTGCTATGCTGTCCACTATGTTGTACCATAAACGCTTCTTCCCCTACTACACAGACAACATAGTCGCAGGCCTGGACAATGAAGGTAATCTAATATAAAGTGAGAAATATCGATGTAATAGTTCATGATCTAGAGATAAGTTTTTGTGTGATTCAAGTTGATTATAGACTAAGGATTGCTTTAATATCTTAGCTGATGACAACTGGATTGTTTTACATGTTATGGATGCAAGTCCAGCTATGACCCTGACAAATGATAACCGATTGTTTTGCAGGTCGTGGATGTGTGTACAGCTTTGACCATGATAACTGATTGTCTTGCAGGTCGTGGATGTGTGTACAGCTTTCACCCTGTAGGATCCTATGAGAGGGAGTCCTTCCGAGCTGGTGGCTCTGCCAGCTCCATGATGCAGCCCTATCTTAGCTGATGACAACTGGATTGTTTTACATGTTATGGATGCAAGTCCAGTTAGGACCCTGACAAATGATAACCGATTGTTTTGCAGGTCGTTGATGTATGTACAGCTTTGACCATGATAACTGATTGTCTTGCAGGTCGTGGATGTGTGTACAGCTTTGGCCATGATAACCGATTGTTTTGCAGGTCATGGATGTGTGTACAGCTTTGACCATGCTAACTGATTGTTTTGCAGGTCGTGGATGTGTTTACAGCTTTGACCATGATAACCGATTGTTTTGCAGGGCATGGATGTGTGTACAGCTTTGACCATGATATCTGATTGTTTTGCAGGTCATGGATGTGTGTACAGCGTTGACCATGATAACCAATTGTTTTGCTGGTCGTTGACGTGTGTACAGCTTTGACCATGATAACTGCTTGTTTTGCAGGTCGTGGATGTGTGTACCGCTTTGACCATGATAACTGATTGTTTTTCAGGTCATGGATGTGTGTACAGCTTTGGCCATGATAACCGATTGTTTTGCAGGTCATGGATGTGTGTACAGCTTTGACCATGCTAACTGATTGTTTTGCAGGTCGTGGATGTGTTTACAGCTTTGACCATGACAACTGCTTGTTTTGCAGGTCGTGGATGTGTGCACAGCTTTGACCATGATAACTGATTGTCTTGCAGGTCGTGGATGTGTGTACAGCTTTGCCCCTGTAGGATCCTATGAGAGGGAGTCATTCCGAGCTGGTGGCTCTGCCAGCTCCATGATGCAGCCCTATCTTAGCTGATGACAACTGGATTGTTTTACATGTTATTGATGCAAGTCCAGCTAGGCCCCTGACAAATGATAACCGCTTGTTTTGCAGGTCGTGGATGTGTGCACAGCTTTGACCATGATAACTGATTGTTTTGCAGGGCATGGATGTGTGTACAGCTTTGACCATGCTAACTGATTGTTTTGCAGGTCGTGGATGTGTTTACAGCTTTGACCATGACAACTGCTTGTTTTGCAGGTCGTGGATGTGTGTACCGCTTTGACCATGATAACTGATTGTTTTGCGGGTCGTTGATGTGTGTACAGCTTTGACCATGATAACAAATTGTTTTGCTGGTCGTTGATGTGTGTACAGCTTTGACCATGATAACAAATTGTTTTGCTGGTCGTTGATGTGTGTACAGCCTTGACCATGATAACTGATTGTTTTGCAGGTCGTGGATGTGTGTACAGCTTTGACCCTGTAGGATCCTATGAGAGGGAGTCCTTCCGAGCTGGTGGCTCTGCCAGCTCCATGATGCAGCCCTACTTAGATAATCGGGTTGGTATAAAAAAATTGTCATATTATTATGACCCGGATTTGAAATATTCAGATCAGTTGGCTATTATCTTGTTACACGGAATGGTTTAGTAATCGCATGTAGTGCAGAAATTTAGAATTAATTTGTGTAAAAAATAATTTGAAAGGAGTTGTACATATAAAACATAATTTGATGCAAGATCATTTCGTAACATGGCAGTTTTATCTTTTATAAAAAGTGGATCCCCTGAATACAAATGTCTCCATGTAGCATAGATAATAGGGTTGTGTAGAAATACCAATAATTACTTCAATGTAGAAGAATGTCATTAATGGATATTGAAGCTATATCACACTGCAAGAAACAAAAGATTGATGTGAACACAACGCAACATTTGTATCACCGGATTGTCCTTTCATATATTTAGAATAATCAATTAAAGCTGAACCTGTTAAATTATTAGAATGTGTTTCAGTATAGTTCTGTCTCCCTTCAGAAATAACCAAAGATTTCCTTTTTGTTAACAGATTGGACACAGAAACAACCCTAATCCCCCAAAAGGTCCACTCACCAAAGAGCAGGCTGTGAAGCTGATTAAGGATGCTTTCATTGCAGCAACAGAGAGAGACATTTACACGGGTGATGGTGTCGTTATACATGTGATAACCAAGGATGGTATAGAAACTGAAAGTTTTGGTCTCCGTAACGACTAGATTCATCACACAGACTATCATCAGATACCCCTGGTATGGTGTTAATAATTCACCAACTACAGTCATGGTGTTTAGATCATCAGATACACCAGGGTTGGTGTGTTTTGTACAGGAGTAAAAATCGAGCTTGCACACCTAGTTGACATTTCCTGGACAGGACTTTGTCAATTAGAATGCATGGAAAAACTCCAGTAATATTATAAGTGCTGCATTTTGATGCCATTTTCAAAAAAATCTTCTGTCTGACAACAATTGTTCAATAAAATTTAATATGTCATGCTTTGGGTATTTTTTGTTATATTTATCCAAGGAAGTACTTAATAATATATGGTTATAAATATGTATGTACATCTGCCAACAGATTTATTTTCTTCTCAGTTTCCACTGGCAAATTTTAACACCAATTCAGTAAAAGTTATCCTCTGATGGCCAATTCCTGAAGCCCCAGTTAATCCATAAGATTGACACCCTGGTGTCTTATTGGAGTCGTGAGAACATCATGTCAGGTACCTACTGGCCAAATATCATTATTCTGGGCCTCCCGGTTATTCAGAAGGTTTTAAACACATTTTACCCTTGTGACCTTGAAAGCAATTTATTTGAGGAAACTTTATTGCACTTCATGCCAGGTACCTACTGGCAAACTAATATTACTCTGGGACTCCGATTATTCAAAAGAAGTTGTTTAAAAGGTTTTAACATATTTGACCCCTGTGACCTTGAAAGTAGGTCAAGGTCATTTATTTGAGGAAAGTTTATAGCACTTCATGCCAGGTGAGCTAAAATCACAAAAGGTTTAGTAGTTATGCTTACAAGGTTCATGGACAGGAAATTCCTTTATATCCCCACCCATCCAACTTTGGAACACAGTTGCCTATATTTGGCATTGTACTTAAGTTGTATCTTCATACGAAGTTTAACACTGTTGAACATTTGCCAGCCGTATAAGAGTATTGGAGCTAAAAGCAAAGTATGAAACAGAAAATATAGGTCACAGTGACCTACATTTAAAATATTGATGTAGCCCTTAAGATTAAATGCAAAGTCTAACCATGAAGTCAGACGGATGGACAGAAAATGCCAACAGTGTATCATTCTCTTTGTTTAGGGAGCATGTCAGCAACAGCTCACAGAGCTACACCACTAAGCTTTCACTTTGATAGTACATGTAATGTGATTTTTTGTAAGACACTAATAAATACATTAACAACTTGGATTTCATGTAATCCTGACCACACACACACCTAAGTGAGGTATCATGACTGCAACAACCTCTCAAGTTATATTACAATCCTACAAAGTTTAAGAACAAAATATTTCAATGTTACAGTCAACTTGGTTAGGGCAAACATTGCTATCATTGAGCCCTTGTTTTGACCCTGAAGAAAGAGACCTGATCTGAAAAAACAAAGATACCATAACCTCTGTTCAGAAGTCTTATGAACTTCATTGAGGTCTATACATGTTACAGACAAGGAGACAGGAATAATGTAGAATAACACAATAAAATGGACTCATCAGTCGACACTTAGAAGTAAACGAACTTTATTAAGACAACCATTACCGTTGTTTTTACAATAGCTAAACTTTATGTTGATCCTTGACACTTTTGATGTGTCCTTCTTTTCACAATGTACATCAGCACAACTGTATCATAATCAGCACCTTTACCAGCTGAAGCAATGAAAGCATGATGTAAAAAATCCCTTTGTTGACCCATAACACTAAAAGTTCTTTAGTAAATTTGCAAACAAAACAACATCTAGAACTACTTAATGTACAATATATGATCTTCTTTATAACCATTTAAAAAAAAGGGAAAAAATTGTGTCATCTATACACCACTTAAAAGATTAGCAAAGAAACACAATTGGATAATGTCTACAAATAGTTCACAGTTGACAAATTTGTGTTGTATTGATAAATGTTCACAAAATCTGTACATGTCCAACCTTAAATGAAACTGTTTTATAGCAAATGTATGTGTTATAATAAGAGTGTTGCCTCTGTAGCTCTGTGTGCCTCAGGGGTAGAAGTAAAGTGCTGGAACGTCCCATGGATCACTTCTTACCAAGTACAAAAGGCAGGCCCATGTCCTTTCCACGAAGTTTAACACCTGTAATCATAAAGTTCAACAAAATCAACAAAGTTCCACAAAATCAAAATGTATTGTTCAGCAGATGGCTGCAGCACACTTTTCAAGGACAAGTGTCTCCACTTTTCCATTTTTTCAAATAATCTTATTTACATTTAGGAATTTTTTCATACAAATACAAGGTGGTTAACAACATAAAGAGCATGTTGTTGTAATGACATGTACCACAAAATAAGTTGCACTTTAATTTTCTGGCATTTATCTTGTGAATTTGTTTTCAATGGTTGGTGTTTGTGGTAGGCTCAGAAATTCTTCTGACACTTGATAAATAGCCATAACAATTTCTATCTTTCAAATATTGATATAGTGCTTAAAATCAGTGTATACTAATTTGTCATCTCCCTGGGATCACAAGAAATTTATCTTACATGGCATTTCAAGAGTTAAGATAAAGTCAATTTTTATTCTTTACCCCACATTATTTTCACAAAATGCATAAACCTTAAAGGGACATGACGGTGAAGTGTATTGGGTTTTTTTCATTTATTTTTTTCAAATACTATATAAGCATATCAAGTGAGTCTCCTTATGGAAAATAATGATCGGATTTGGCCGATATATATTCATAACAAGAGTACCGTAGGGCAGAACAATATACGCCCGTCGAATGCCATATCATGTTATATACTTTCTTACATTGAAATAAGATCTGCATCATTCAAAGAGTGGTTAGCTGACATGCTATAAAAATGTAGGAGAAAATCTCCGGATAAAAAAATTGAATACTGAAATGAACAAAGGGCAATACCTTTTGCAAAAATCATTGAATCAAAATTCTGTTAAGGGAGACACAACAACATTTCATGATTATTGAGCCTTCTAAATTTCAAATAGATCCGTTGAAAAATGTAGGAGGAGATTGCCGGACAAAAATCAAATACTGAAATGAACAAAGGACAATAACTTTTGGAAAAATTGTTGAATCAAAATTCTTTTAAGGGGGACACCATTTCATATCATGATTATAATGTATACCAAGTTTCAAAGAGATCTGTCGGAATGGTAGGAGGAGGTTGCCGGACAAACAAAAGTTTACGCCGGCTGGAAAACGCCATACCATAATACTCCAGTCAAATTTGACGGGCGTATAAAAATAAATAATTTTAAGATGATCATCAGGATTTCTACCTGTCTGAACAACGTTTTGTTCAGGGATTTCCCTCTACTAGCGCATGCGCATAGTACACCCTTTCTTTGTAAAAAAAATGACTGGCCATGTGAAGTAAGCGAAAGAAAATCATTGAATTGAAAAGTTGCCAAATGGTCAAAAGATAGTGCAAGGAGTACGTTACGGAATCATTATTGTAGGTGGGCAGTATTCAAAGGAGAAAATAACTGCCCTAGCAGTTAGTACAGTGCATGTATTCTTCCAGATAGCCATTTAAAAGCTGAAATGGAATCGACAGAAATGCTGTTTATATTATGAATAACCTTGCTAGTATATGAGTTTGAACACAGATGAACTTTTTTTGTAATGTTAATGAGCATGTATCAGAGAGAGTTTACTTTGTTTTTCTATATACAGTAGTTATGCAAAAGGAAGGGATAAGTGACAGGTTAGTTTGATTTTGCTATGAGGCCCTCGAAGGGATAACTGTATTCTGTTCTCTCCTCTGTCGTACATAATTTATAATATTCTAGGGTTCAGTAAAATGGTATGATTTAATAATATATCTGAATTAAACTCTTTTTTTTTGTATTTACATGCAAGATTTAAATAACTAAATCTAATTGGGTGCCTCGGTAGCCGTGATCGCTAACGCGCACAGTCATTGTACTACTGTGTGCTATCAAGCGTGAGCTTCAGACCACTCGCTCTCCCAAGAATTTCAGTTTCAGTTCGATCCCCAGCGGTGGTGGATAAAAAGAAAGTGATGTCTGATAGGGTTAGCTGTTATCTCTCCGATGGCACGGTGGTTTCCCCCTGTGGGTTTTCCTCCACCACGAAAACACCATTTGTTCCCTTAGCGGCGTCGTAATAAAAGCTCTACAGAGCTTATGTTTGTTGTTGACAATTGTACACAACGTTAAATTAAGATTATATTATTATATATAGTACTAATACCCGGCCTCCTCTACCGTGACGACACAATATATAAAAATAATCTCTCGTCGTCAGGAAGCTACGTTATCGCAGCTGGATTTAAATATGTCAAAATGACGGTTCAGGACGAATAACTGAAGAAGGAGAACCTACTTATAGTAAATAGGAGCGCATAACAAATTGTTTTTTTAATCGTAATGTTTCAACAGTTCATGTTTTCACCTGATGTTGACTGATGATGATCATGCAACAACTTTTTCTCCATAAATAATTAGTTTTCGACATCAGATATAATCGGAATACGCATTGAAAACGGGAAAAAAGTCATTTGTTTACGTTGTAAAAATGAAGCATGCTGCCGATAACTACGGCTTCTGTTTCGGACAAAAAAGAAGTGATTAAAGAAACGTTGTCTCAACATAACAAAGGGTCCATTTACAAGTATGCTTTAATCTATGTAAAGTATTGAAAACATAATTATCAAGTATCTCAACACGTTCCATATCTGACACATATTCTACATGTACCTAAGAGTACCATACAGTTTATTGTGTGTGATGGCTAATATGAATTACTAAGTGTTAGCGTATGGAGGCAGTGAAAGTGGGAAAGAGAGTATACATATATATATATATGCATGGTCTAGACAAAAAGTGGCCAAAGACATTGAGTTGTACAATGTAATAAAACAAGAGGCCCATGGGCCTTAACGGTCACCTGAGTCTATAGTATTTATTTTTGCTGTTGAAATATGTACCAATTTGAGTAAAAAATAGTATAATGTTAACTTAACTTTGTCAGGACCATGAGCTGATCATTCCTAGACCAATTTTAAGTGAGATCGGCCTATTAGAACTTAGTAGCAAAATAGCGGCCATGGCAGCCAAATTGTATTTCTGATTGACCCGAAAAATAACAACACTTTGTCAGGACCATGAGGCGATCATTCCTACCAACTTTCAGTTCAATCGGCCCAGTAGAACTTGACTTTAAGTTTGAAATGTAAAATGTTAACGGACGACAGACGACGGACGACGACGGACGAAAACGGATAGCAATAGGTCACTTGAGCTTAAGCTCAGGTGACCTAAAAATCACAAACGTTTCTCTTTTTTATACTTGTGATTGCATACATACACTTTATGAAAACATTTGAAAAGGGATATTCGTCTCGTTAATATTCGTTATTACAGAAAGGTTTGTCCCATGGTTGAGGTAAGGTGTTTAGCCCTGTACCATCTGTACCGGTCACATTCCGGTAATAAATTTAAATTCTGAATATTGGCAAGTGTGAAATTAACTTCTGATGATAAATAATTACTGATTCAATAAGTTTCAACACATACTTAGAAATCATATTACTTGGTTTCATAGTGCGGTAAGAAGTTGCAGTTGCCTAACGGCCCCTCTCTGGGGCCCCTATGGAAACATCTCATCTCGGTCAGACCACCTGTGTTTCCTGCCTAGTTTCAAAACCGTTAGGCGACGTTATTTGCGCTATTTTCAACAGGGCTTTCCCGAACAATTCAAGTGGTCAAACTGGACATTTTGAGCGGACTATGAATATAGGGATAGCGAGGTAACATAGGTGGAAGTGCATACAACACATACATTCATTAAAAAATATGGATCTTCATGTGATGTCCCTTTAACAAGAAAGGTACGAGAGAAAAATAATCTTTTATTTTATTCCTAAGTAGAACTCCACTGCATAACCCCCTGGGTGGTATATCCCTATAACTAACAATACATAACCCCTCTGGTGTTATATCCTTATAATTCCAATTCATAACCCCTCAGGTGGTATATCCTTGTAACTCTAATTCATAACCCCTCTGGTGGTATATCCCTATACTTCCAATACATGAGCCCTCTGGTGGAATATCCCTATACCTCCAATACATGACCCCTCTGGTGGTATATCCCTATCCTTCCAATACATGAGCCCTCTGGTGGTATATCCCTATACCTCAAATACATGACCCCTCTGGGGGTATATCCCTATCCCTCCAATACATGCCCCCTCTGGTGGTATATCCCTATACCTCAAATCCATGACCCCTCTGGGGGTATATCCCTATCCCTCCAATACATGCCCCCTCTGGTGGTATATCCCTATACCTCCAATACATGACCGCTCTGGTGGTATATCCCTATACCTCCAATTCATCACCCCTCTGGTGGTATATCCCTATACCTCCAATACATGACCCCTCTGGTGGTATATCCCTATACTTCCAATACATGACCCCTCAGGTGGTATATCCCTATACCTCCAATACATGACCCCTCTGGTGGTATATCCCTATACCTCCAATACATGACCCCTCTGGTGGTATATCCCTATACCTCCAATACATGACCCCTCTGGTGGTATATCCCTATACCTCCAATACATGACCCCTCTGGTGGTATATCCCTATACCTCCAATACATGACCCCTCTGGTGGTATATCCCTATACCTCCAATACATGACCCCTCTGGTGGTATATCCCTATACTTCCAATACATGACCCCTCAGGTGGTATATCCCTATACCTCCAATACATGACCCCTCTGGTGGTATATCCCTATACCTCCAATACATGACCCCTCTGGTGGTATATCCCTATACCTCCAATACATGACCCCTCTGGTGGTATATCCCTATACCTCCAATACATGACCCCTCTGGTGGTATATCCCTATACCTCCAATACATGACCCCTCTGGTGGTATATCCCTATACCTCCAATACATGACCCCTCTGGTGGTATATCCCTATACCTCCAATACATGACCCCTCTGGTGGTATATCCCTATACCTCCAATACATGACCCCTCCGGTGGTATATCCCTATACCTCCAATACATGACCCCTCTGGTGGTATATCCCTATACCTCCAATACATGACCCCTCCGGTGGTATATCCCTATACCTCCAATACATGACCCCTCCTGTGGTATATCCCTATAACTCTAATTCATAACCCCTCAGGTGGTATATCCCTATACTTTCAATACATGACCCCTCTGGTGGTATATCCCTATACCTCCAATTCATCACCCCTCAGGTGGTATATCCATATAACTCCTATTCATAACCCCTCAGGTGGTATATCCCTATAACTCCAATACATGACCCCATGACCCATCAGGTGGTATATCCCTATAACTCCAATACATGACCCCTCAGGTGGTATATCCCTTTCACTCCAATACATAACACCTCAGGTGGCGTTTCCCTTTCACTACAATTCATGTCCCTTCAGGTGGTATTTAATTTCTTAATTACTTCTATTCATGATTCCAAAGGCTATTAATTGTTAACTTGACTATGTTATGACCAAGCAGGATTTGACAGTCAACTTGTACCTACCTAAGCACCTTTCCAACTTTGAAATAACTTGCTGATTTGGTATGGCTTTCCCAGATTCATACTCATTAATGACTTGTGGCTTTTCGTTTATTTTCTGAAAAGATAATACATTGTATAAAGGAAACACAGAGTACTGTAATATAAACAAGAGGCCCAATGGGCCTGCATCGCTCACCTGGTATAAAACTCACACTTGTAACCTTAAAAGTGATCTAAAATAAAGCTACAGGCAAAATATCAGTATTTATGATTAAAATTCGTTCAAAAGACCCTGTTAATTTTTTTTAAAACATTTCACCCCTGTGATTGAAAGTCGAACAATGTCATTATGTTGAACACATTGTATAGCCTTTCATCTCAGGATGCAACTTGCAAAGTATAAACATCCTGGGACCCATGGTTATTCATAAGAGGTTGTTTAAAGATTTTAAACAAATTTGACCCCTGTGACCTTGAATATAAGTCAAAGTCATTCACTTTAACAAACATAGTAGTCCTTGATCCCAGCATATGCTACTAACTAAATATCAACATCCTGAGCCTTTTGGTTATTCAGAACAAGTTGTTGAAATATTTTAAACATATTTGCTCCTTGTGACCTTGAATATGATTCAAGGTCATACATTTAAACAAACTTGGTAGCCCTTGATCCTAGTATGCTACTGACTAAATATCATCACCCAGGGCATTTTGGTTATTCAGAAGAAGTTGTTTAAAGTTTTTAACATATTTGACCCCTGTGACCTTGAATATGGGTGAAGGTCATTCATTTGAACAAACTTTGTAGCCCTTCATCTCAGCATGCTACTGGCCAAATATCATCACCCTAGGCCTGTCGGTTATTCAGAAGAAGTTGTTGAAAGGTTTTAAACATATTTGACCCCTGTGAACTTGAACATAAGTCAAGGTCATTTATTTGAACAAACTTGGTAGCCCTTCATCCCAGCATGCTTCTGGCCAAATATCATCACCCTGGGCATTTTGGTTATTCAGAAGAAGTTATTTAAAGTTTTTTTAAGACAATTGACCCCTGTGACCTTGAACATAATTGAAGGTCATTCATTTTAACAAACTTGGTAGCCCTTCACCCTTGCATGCTACTGACCAAATATCATCTCCCTGGGCAGTTTAGTTATTGAGAAGAATTGTTTAAAGTTTTTAACATATTTGACCCCTGTGACCTTGAAAATAGATGAAGGTCATTTATTTGAACAAATTTGGTAGCCCTTCATCCCAGTTTGCTTCTGGCCAAATATCATCACCCTAGGCCTTTCGGTTATTAAGAAGAAGTCGTTTAAAGTAAAATATTGGACGCCGGACGGACGGACGACGGACGCCGCACCACGACATAAGCTCACTTGGCACTTCGTGCCAGGTGAGCTAAAAACACCAATGTGCAAAATTCATGAACAAATGTGTTTTATATCATTTATCACTCAGAAACATAGAACTTGATAGGCAAAACTAAGTGAATTATCATTAAACTGATTTCAAAAAGTAATCTTAAGAATGAAGATTCATCAACTGGTAATGATAGTTAAAAATATGTTCATCTCAAACTGATTTGTTGTAACACTGAACAAACTCCTTTGTGAAGCTGTGAAAAAATAATGCTATGTCATGTGCATCTTGTGAGAACAGCACAGTGTATGTAGCAGTTCAAAGTAGGAGTATATACAACGTGTACACTGTATATGTAATTGAAAGATCAAATGTCCCTGTGGAGTAGGTAAGTATAAAGATATAAAAACCAACTTCAAAACCAGCAACTTTCACTTCTAGATCTAAAGCAGGTATGGGACAGACACCATCTACAGCATTGTCAACTGTGTAAGTATGATAGTCTGTGCCACATCTACAGCAGGTATGGGACAGACATCATCTACAGCATTGTCAACTGTGTAAGTATGATAATCTGTGCCACATCTACAGCAGGTATGGGACAGATATCATCTACAGCATTGCCACCTGTGTAAGTATGATAGTCTGTGCCACATCTACAGCAGGTATGGGATAGACATCATCTACAGCATTGTCAACTGTGTAAGTATGATAGTCTGTGCCACATATACAGCAGGTATGGGACAGACACCATCTACAGCATTGTCAACTGTGTAAGTATGAGTCTGCAGCACATCTACAGCAGAAATGGGACAGACACCATCTACAGCATTGTCAACTGTGTAAGTATGAAGGTCTGTGCCACATCTACAGCAGGCATGGGACAGACATCATCTACAGCATTGTCAACTGTGTAAGTATGAAGGTCTGTGTCACATCTACAGCAGGTATGGGACAGACATCATCTACAGCATTGTCAACTGTGTAAGTATGAGTCTGCAGCACATATACAGCAGAAATGGGACAGACACCATCTACAGCATTATCAACTGTGTAAGTATGATAGTATGTGCCACATCTACAGCAGGTATGGGACAGACCTCATCTACAGCATTGTCAACTGTGTAAGTATGAAGGTCTGTGCCACATCTACAGCAGGCATGGGACAGACATCATCTACAGCATTGTCAACTGTGTAAGTATGAGTCTGCAGCACATCTACAGCAGAAATGGGACAGCCACCATCTACAGCATTGTCAACTGTGTAAGTATGAAGGTCTGTGCCACATCTACAGCAGGTATGGGACAGACAACATCTACAGCATTGTCAACTGTGTAAGTATGAAGGTCTGTGCCACATCTACAGCAGGTATGGGACAGACATCATCTACAGCATTGTCAACTGTTTAAGTATGATAGTATGTGCCACATCTACAGCAGGTATGGGACAGGCAACGTCTACAGCATAGTCAACTGTGTAAGAATGATAGTCTGCAGCATATCTACAGCAGGTATGGGACAGACATCATCTACAGCATTGTCAACTGTGTAAGTATGATAGTATGTGCCACATCTACAGCAGGTATGGGACAGACAACGTCTACAGCATAGTCAACTGTGTAAGAATGATAGTCTGCAGCACATCTACAGCAGGTATGGGACAGACATCATCTACAGCATTGTCAACTGTGTAAGTATGATAGTCTGTGCCACATCTACAATCACAGCTGACATACATTTTTACAGGTATGATCATCAAAAGCAGGTGTAAATACAACTGACCTAATGGGCCTGCATTACTCACCTGTTATTTAATGTTTTTGGTTAATACATTTCAAATCTTAGACTTTCTAAGTGGGTCAAGATCAAATTTTACTGCACTTACTTTAAAGTAAGCCAGCTAATACTACATACTTAAAATGTGGTCAAGGTCATTTCTTTGATTTGAAAAACTGTGTTATCCTGCAGCAGCTGCAAGCTACAGACTAACGATATTTCTGGAGGCTTTAATGACCTTCATAAAAAGATTCACACACTTGACCCTTGTGATCAAAGTGGGTGAAGGTAATTTATTCAGACATACTTGATAGTCCTTCACACCATCAAGTAAACAATATTAAAGAATAACAATTGTAAAATCCCTTCTGATATTTCAAATGAATCATCTTTTTATAGCATTGCCAAACCCTGATGAAGTTTTCATTAAAAAATTAAGTAGTATTTTATACGAGTTGGTGCGGAATAGTAAAACAGATAATGTCAAAAGAGATGCATTAACAAAATGTCCAAACGAGGGGGGGAGCTAAAGATGATCAATGTTAAACACTTTATCACAGCACTGAAGTCAACATGGATAAGAAGACTATACAGAGAAACCAATAATTGGGTAAATATGTTTAATAATGCTTCTAATACCGACTACCTAGCAAATTGTGGAATACAAAACATCAAGGCTAGCTCTGATAATACACCAAATTTATTTTGGATGGATGTTTTAAAAGCCTGGTTTGGCGAGTAAACAATATGAAAATAATATATATGAAAATCCTTAAAGGTATAATGAACATATCAAAATTGGCGGGCAAACTGTACTCTATAAAAATTAAACCTGGTACTCTAAAGGAATAACACATGTACATAATATGTTTAGACATGATGGATCTATTTATTCACATGAAGAGTTAAATACCAGATATGATATCAGGACACATTTTTTAACTTATCAGGGAATGGTTGAAGCTATTCGCAAATATGTTGATCGACAGTGACTAAATATACATGAGAATATTTTTACCTTTTGTACCTATAATTCTAAAATTACTTTTAAAAGTACAAGAGGCAAAGGATGTATATCGAGTACTCATAAAAAGTAATACTCAACCAGCTGCACAGGTAAAATGGCATCTCTCATTAGGAATAGTTGTAGGAGATTGGAGTTAGGTTTACAAATGTCTTTTTGAGACCACTGAAGCTTGTATGGTTACAATATAGGATAAACCATAGAATTTTGACTACTAATTCATATACACAAAAAGTTACTATAATACATCTTCTGTGGGAATGTGATAAGACCCAGGAACTACTCAAAATTTTTCAAATATATTTAAATACACAAAATATTAATTTAGTTTTCGAAAAAATTATGTTTCTGTTTGGCTAATATAGAGATAATCAAAAGGCTCATATGGCAGATAATTATTTGTTACTTATAATAAAACAATATATTTACAACTCTAGATTTTTGAAGAAAGATCTACAATTGAATACTTTGAAAACTCTCATACAAGTGGGAAAATAAATGTGATGAGTTTCAAAGGATATGGGGCAAATGGTCTTTCTTCCTAGAATAGATATATGGTGTTTTTTTCTCTCTTTCTTTCTAGACAGCTGGTTTTGCCTTTTCCTATATTTCCTTCCTTACGTTTTTTATTTGTAGGTACGAATGCATGTTCTTCACTCGATATATGTATGCTGCATTATTATGCATGTATATATACATGTGATGCATTGTACAGTATGTGTATATACATGTGATGTGCATGTGTGTGCAGTTATATGTACATGTATGTATGAATAATGCATGTATATATATATATGTGCAATGTGTGTGGAGTATGTATGTATGTGACAAGTGTGTGTGTATGTATGTGTGTATTTGCTGTATGTTTATGTGCTTAAGCATACTTTTGAGTATATGAATGTGGGCCTAATTGTGTACTAAGGTTTATAATTACATGAATTGAAGGTGGGAAGGTATGGAGACAGGAGCACAGATGTGGATATATGTATGTATTTGATGCGTGTTTGAAATTACTTGTATAATATGTTGATGTAAGTATGTTTAATTTGTATAAGTCTATGAAATGAAAAAAAGAAAGAAAAAGTTACCCGGTATACGATGTTAAAATATCTTTTACTTTAGATCACATAGAAATTGTCTACAGGTTTTAACACAATGACCTTTGCAACCTGGAAAAAGGATCGATGTCATTTAATTATTCAAGCACAGTTAATTTTAAATAGCCTTTTATTCCATCAAACTTGTACATATAGGCCATATTGATCTTAAGAACAAGTCTCTTGAAACTTGTAATGTATTTTATCCAGTGGTCATAGAAAGTACAATTAAGGTTGACCCATCTACTCCTTTTGGGTGATTTCAACCTTAAGGAAATTTACTGGATAACAAACTCAATGTCCACTAATGAACACTGCATTGTAACACAATTATCAGCGAGAGTCTGACTGATAATTAAGCTACTGCAAAATATCATTACTGAAGGACTTTTGGTTCTTCAAGAGAAGTGGCTCAAGTGTTTGAACAAATTTGGTCCCTGTGACTTTGAATATGAGTCAAGATCATTTAGTAAAGCTACTGATTAAATGTCATGACTAGACGTTTCGGTTCTTCAGCAGAAATTGTCTGAGTGTTTTAACAAATTTGATGTCAGTGACCTTGAATAAAGGACAATGTCTTTTCTGCTTGCACTTTTTGTAGATCTGTTTTCAGCAAGTTACTTGCCAAATACTTTTCAGTTATTCAGAAAAAGTTATTTGAGCGATTAACAAATTTAACCTTAATGACCTTAAATATTGGTTAAGGTAATTTCTTTTCTTAAAATTTGTAGCACTTCATGCTATCAAGTTACTGGCAAAATATGAATCCAGACATTTTGGTTCTTCAGACGAAATCATTGGAGTGTTTCAACAAATTTGATACTAAAGTTATTTTTTGTTTCCAAACTTCATAACACATTTAGTGTATAAGAGACGTTGGCATCATTGTGATTACTCAACTATAGAAATGAGACATTGTATACAGTAGTTGTATAGAAATGATAACCTACGGTTGCCAGTTCCTTTTGTGTCATTTCCTTATCCTGTCTACTCTTCTGGATTAGCCGAGACAGGGACAGTGCCACATGTTCGTGGTGGAGTTCCTCAGTCTCACGGTCAAGTTTGGCTGTATTCTTCGCTGCTGAAGACTGCTTGTTTTGGGAGGCAGCGTCTGAGGATTTAAACAAAGTGTTTAGTCATACTTAACTCACTCTAGATCATCAAATCTTAAGGGCATAGTACATTTGTTATTGGTATGATATAATTGTAATTCATTTCAAATTTGAAATTACTAACTATATTTATATATGTAACCACTGAACAGTTCTGTAAATACCTGCCTAATGTGCAATCACAAACTCAACTTTAACGGGCAATCACAAACTCAACTTTAATGGGCAATCACAAACTCAACTTTAATGGGCAATCACAAACTCAACTTTAATGCAAGAACTGCCAACAGACCATATGGAATCAATACCTACATTTTTTAGTTGTTTCAATGGACTTCCCTTGTCTTTGTGCAGCATTTATAGCCTGAAAAATAAGTTAAGTATTATGTTAATGACTATTACACTACAACGTATATATCCGATTCTGTGGAAATCAGTCGTGAAACATATTACTTAATAATCCTGCCTTCACTCCATTATAAACACTGAACATATTTCTTTTGTCAAAAAAGTAAATTGTTATGAACAAAAATTCAACAAAAATTTGTGCCCAACCTGCTTAAGACAACTGTTGGGAAAATATTGAATTCAATCTTACCACAGGAGCATGAAAATTCTGTCGAAAAATTAATAATAACTGTAGTAAAACACAAAAAATACCTATAATATGCTTAAATAATTGTTTTGTATTACTGTTATTATTAATTTTAGACAGAATTTCAGGCTCCTGCGGTCTTGTGTATAATTGGGTAAATTGAGAGGTGTCATGTAAATTTATCATGACATGAGTGTTTGGTACGTGTTGGGTAAATTGACGGAATCGTTAAGTAGTGTTGAGTACACTGACATTTATGTTTGGTAAATCATTTTTGTAAATGTTGGGCGAAACATTAACGGTTTTGGAGAGAGTAGAGCGATTTAAGATATAAATCACCAAGGGTATTTGGTAAATTGACATGAATGCTGATCAGTATTAGCGGGCACTCTCGCAATCGGCCGAGCAGTGCGAGCCATTATAACAACACATGTACGGAAAGTACTGGAAAATGAGAGTGAATTTTTCTATGCTATATGAAGGTCTCAAAAACTTTCGTCCTTCCGGTTGTACAGGCTAGCAAAAAACGGCAACATGCGTTGCTTTGTGCCTGCATTGCACAAACGATTAATTTGATATTTTCAATGAATACCCTGTATTTTTGTTGTATGTCCGATAGATTTTTATGTTCAGAAACAATCTTACATTTTTTAGAAGTTGATGTTAGTGATTAAATCTTTCGTTGTCCTACATATTATTTTGATATTTTCTTTTTTCTCAAACTGAAAATTGTTTCCATCTAGTACATGCGCTTGGTTATTTGTCCTTAGCTTTAAAATAGCATCAGTTGATACTGATAACTCTGTACATATGCCGAATTGACGTTCACAACATGTTGTGACGCTACTGTGACGTCACTGTTAACACGCGTCATCATATAGTGTTGACAATTCTGCAGCTATACCACATTATTTAGAATATTTTTATTTCTAGTTTATTCTTATTCCTTCAGCTCAATGCACATTTTTTCATTTGTAACTTCATTGTAGGCCTAGACACATAATGGATATCTTAGATGTAGTGTAGGTATTTCATGCATTTATATTACTTTTAAAAAGTACTTCTGAATTTTTCAACAAACACAAAGATATTATTTTTCTTTTGAATTTTCATCTGCGAATAATAACATAGTTTTCTGTAACCTGATTTATTTTTTAAAGGCGTGTTTTGCTGTGCCATCTGCTTCTTCTTCTTACCAAATTACTTCAGAGAAAAATATGCAGTAAATTCTCTCACAGTAATTGTATGTATTATCTTTGTAATATGATCACTATTGGCATCAGAATGATTGAATGAAAGTGGAAATGCGGTAAGTATAATAATGATAATAATAATATACAACATTTATATAGCGCCCTATATAATTTGTAAAATTACTCTAAAGCACTTTACAACATATGGATAATAGTAATGGTTATAATTGTGAAAACGAAAAAAACAACAAAGGCCTGCAATCACTTTTATACATTTAAGCAAGCAATGTGCACATAATTAAACAAATAAAAGGGTGGTATTTACATAACGTCTTTGCAAAGATTCTAAAATGCAGACGTGAAGAGGTGAGTTTTGAAGTCCCTCTTGAACTTTGCCAGGGTATTGGACTTTCTAATTGCAGATGGTAAGCTATTCCACAACGTAGCCGAAACCCTTCCAAAGCATCTGTTTCCGTAGGTCACATTACGAGATTTTGGGACACACAACAAAGATTCTGACTCCAACCGCAGTGATTGTGACGGCTGATACAGGGTAACAAGCTCCTGTATGTACTGGGGAGCTGTTCCATTCAGTGCCTTGTATGTGTACACCAGAATTTTGTACCGCAACCTGTATCGTACAGGTAACCAGTGCAACGACTAGAGCACAGGTGTGATGTGCTCTCTCTTTCAAGTATGAGTAACTAGCCGTGCTGCAGTGTTCTGGACTCTCTGCAGATGACTAGTTAGTTTGTCAGATATACCACAGAGCAGGGCTTTACCATAATCCAACCGAGAGGTAACAAGTGAATGCACCAAAATCTTGCATACTGCCGAATACAGCCGATGTTCCTGATCTGGTAGTAACAGGATTTGGCAACAGCGTTCACTTGTTTCTCCATGTTTAGTGAACTATCAAAGTATACCCCTAGGTTTTTAACAGCTGGAACAGTCTCAATAGTTCTGGCACCAACCTTGAGCTGGAGAGCCATTGTTTGCCGACACTTTGGGGAAAAGACGATTAGTTCCGTCTTTTCCTGATTAAGCTTAAGCATGTTGGCGTTCATCCAGATACTGATATCTGTCAGACAAGCTTCCAGACTTTCTCAGACGGTATTCCAACTGTCCTGTGGTTTGATGACCGTGTAAATTTGTGTGTCATCGGCATAGCAATGATAGCGAAGGCTATGTCGACGACAAATCTCTCCAATCGGTTTGGAGTACATACAATATTTTCATGGTCCTAACACCGACCCTTGAGGAACCCCGAAATCTAGTACTTTGTCATGTGAGGTGGAAGATCCGATGGCAACACACTGTCGTCGTTCACTCAGGTAAGACTGTATCCAGCATAGTGCGGTATCAGTCACTCCATAAGAGTATTCCAGACGTTTATAAGGTATGCCATGGTCGATGACGTCAAATGCAGCTGACAAGTCCAGCATGACAAGCACAGCTCTGCACTTGTTATCCAATGCAGAAGCTATATCATTATGTACACGTAGGAGGGCGGTCTCAGTAGAGTGTCCCATGCGTTAGGCTGATTGCATGTTGTCATAGAGACTGTTTGCATGGAGATGAACCTCTAAACTCCGGGACACAACCTTCTCCAAGATCTTAGACAGAAAAGGCAGATTTGAAACTTGGCGGTAGTTTTTCAACTCCTCCTTGTCCATTCCAGGCTTCTTTAACAATGGTCTGACATGTGCCTTCTTGAAACATAATGGAACCTTTGACTCAGCCAATGTTTTGTTCATGATTGAGGTAATCAAAGGAAGCAGTGCTTCAAGACATTGCTTTAATAGGTCTGTAGGCAGTGGATCAAGCTCACAGGACTTTGACTGCGAGGTCATGATAATGTTGCGCAACTCGTCCTGGGTTGTTGGTGAGAGATTTGCCAATGGTTCCTCATCAAATGCAATGTCAGCAGTCATGACAGAGATGTTAATGTCAGCAGAGGAGTTCACTTCGGTAATATTTTTCCTGATTGAGTTGATTTTATTCAGAAAGTAATCACTGAACTTGCTTGCTAAGTCTTTTTCAGAATTACAGCTTGGTAGGATAATTTCACCTTTCTGTCCCATTAGGTTTTTGGTGAGTCTAAAAAGCTGTCTATTATTCTTGCCGCATTCTTTGATTCTTTTCGAATAATAAGCCTTCTTTGACTGAAAGAGTAGTGATCCAACTAGCCGACATTGCTCTCTATAGATCTGTTGGTGAACGGTTAATTTGGTCCGTCGCCACTGTCTCTCTGCTTTTCTACGGTTCTGTTTTTCTATGCGTAGATTTTCATTATACCTTGGGGCATTTGGTCTCACAGTTATCACCTTAGTTTGCAGAGGTGCGTGTTTGTCTATAAGGGCTTCTATACCAGATGTGGATATAATTATGGAAGATATTTCAGCATATAACTGAGATGTGCAAGTATAAATACATCTAATTTCAAGAGGAACACCAAATTAAGGCCAAATAAAAAAAAAAATGTGAATGTATGCATTACTGGATATTCGACTGTTCTTCAAGACTTAACAATTCGTAAGTACCTTCATGTCTTTGAATGTTCTTTTTCTTTTAAAACTAGAGAAAAGACAGAATTTCTTCAATATGTACTGCGTATTGTAATGTAATCATTATCCTAATTTTATATTTGCAAACAATATATATCACTGTTTAAAATGTTAGCATCAATTCTGGATTATAGACCTTTGATTCTTTTGAATGTATGTATTGACAAACACTAGTCTAATAATTGTGAAAATCATCTTTTTTATTATCGTTCTTATACTCTTTTCAGGACTTTACGGTACCATCTGAAGAAAAACAAATAGCCTGGTAATTGATGCTAACAATTAAAACAACGAACCAGAGCAGATCCATAGCGACAGGGTTCAATATAGTGTTAGGGCAACTTGTGGAAACCAGGCCAAGTTCTGCCCTGGGGTAACTCCGGCCACTACTGATATTTTAGTCTTTGGCAAATATTTACAACTTTAAGGATTTTAGTATTGCGGTTCACTGGGCAGGACAATCATACGAAAAAAATGACGGGAAAACTATAATTCTAGATTACTAAAAGTGAGAAATTTATTTTTTGGGAGGGTAGAAAGAAAATTATGACCTCACTTCTTTCTAGTTTTGCAAACTTTTTGTAAACCGAAATGCTACTAATTATTGATGTCATACGTGTAACAAACAGACAGCTTCACATACATACAAGCCTAGCATTGAGTTTCGTATTGCTCTAATATACAGATTTCTTAAAATATAAATTTTGGGCAGGTTTGTCACATGACACAGGGGCAGGTTTGGTAAATGCCATACACAGGAAGCCTGGACATTGGCGGGGAAAATATGACGTTGCCGATGTATGCTTTCTGACGTCATAATTATGCAAATTCCAATGTGGGCCGAACTTACATGTACCCCAGACATCCTGTCAAACTTTCCCCAAGTCGGTGCATATTAGGCCATACACTCTTCCAACAATAAAGAGTTTAAGGACATTCCAATATGGCTGCCACACCAAACTGTATATCAAATTAAATAATGCATTCCATTAGCATTAAACAATCCTCCAATATATCTCAAACATAATTGAGGTACATGCACACTAAATTTCAGAAAAAAAAACATTCAATAACTGATGAAAAAACTCACTTTATATTATGTCCATTTTCCAAGACAAGCAAAAGGCACAATTCAGGAGGAAAAAAACCCATTTAAACTTGTACATATCATAAGGTCCATGGAGATGCATTTGTCGAGAAAATTGAAAGAAAATGCAATTGTGTTTGAGAAATATTGGATTATTATTATTTTGAGACAGGGACTTTTTAATGCATTATTGAATTTGATCTAGTTTGGTGTGACAGCCATATTGGAATGTCCTTAATAACTCTTCAAATACGGCCATTCTGTTATAGTTTTGTAGGGCATGGACTTTTCTTTTCCGAATGGTGTAAATACACATAAATTTTAACAAATACTGTCCAGAACNGATTGGATTCTAGCTCTTCTACCGACTGTGCATAAAATAAAACAGTTAAATTATGCAGAAAACTGTTTCTATGTGTGCCCGCTGACTAGGTCTCACCTATTTCATATTAGGTAAAATGACAGTGGTGTTGAGTAGTCTAGTATCATACACCTCGAGCATTCGAGAGTTTTCTTTCTACCTCGAAATAGTCCCAACTTCGTCATACCTGTGTGGTGTTTGATTGACGGCCCCATTTGTTTCCAATTGTTCTAACTTCAGTATCATATTCGGCCATTCTGCTTTAAAGTGTAGCTTGAGTAACGGACAGTACACAATAAAGCAAAGAAATGTTTGGAAGCTTGTTGCTGTCGATTGTTTCGAAATATAATGCAATATGGCGTGTTGTGTACTTATAGTAATGTCGTAACAGTAAATTGTGTTTTATTGTTTCTTCTACTTTTTATTTGTATGCATCAGTTTGTCTTAAATAAAATAATACAAGAATGATAAATTTAATCATTTAATATTAAAATTAAAAAGATGACTTTATTTAATAATTGCGACATTCTGTAAACAGTTTCTTTACTTCCGGTTTTGCTCAGTCGATGTCATTTCTGCGTGTTAGGTTTGTGATTTCCAAACCTTTTAGATTTTACTTTCGTTTCATAATCCATTAAATATGGGTTTTTATTTTTAAAATCACAAAATTAAGTTATTGTATACGAAGAGGCAGAGAGTTGATACACAAAAAACCTTGGTAAGTATACAAAGGAGTATTTGGGATACAATGTAGCCGGCACCATAACAATTTACATCCTATATCAGTATATGCAGTCGGACACATATTCAGTCTAAAAATTGAACATTAACACAGTGTGACTATATAATAAAGATTTTATATAGACCTACTTTTCATTGACAAAACCTAGACCACGAATTTTTACTTGCGTGTTTAGTACTAGAAAACTACATGAAATTAAGATAATGTACGTAACCATTGTCGGCATTGTCTTTATTTTTAACATTGTCACATTACATCACCAGCAGAGTACAAGTAATTTAAAACACCGTCTAGGGCAAGTAAAGAGAAGATCATCCCACAAAATTATAAGACCTTTAATATTAAATAAGCATGTGTGAAACTGGTGCAAGACATGTGTAATAGGACAAGTCGGGCCTAGGGCACAATCCCCATGTGTGTCACATGTTCAGGTGCCCAAGTCCTGTATGCCTATGGTCAACCCAGGTTCGATGGTTTTGTCGTTGGGTTGATATATATATATATATAAGAGGACACCAATGGATAGGTCCTATAATGTTTATTAACAATGAATATGAGGAATTATGTACAGATGATTGACAACAAGGCTAAACAGACAAAACAACTCTCGCACTGCACACATACACATTTACAACACGTAACACTAAACAGGCTAAACTAAAGATAAAGATGAACCACCCCCTCCCATAAATAAAACCTATAATCCCTGCATACGCTTACTCCTAATACTACAGTGTGGCACTCTCCAAAAATAAATCCATCTAATTGACCCGATCTATAACGAAACATCCTATTTATTCCCTTAGATGGCGATAGTCTCAAACCCAAGTTGTTTATCCCATTCGAGCACGCCCAGAAGTAGGAATCCTGTGCACTTTCAATTTGCTGACTAAACGCTATGGAGTGTGACATCTTCACTCACCCGAAAATTACCTTTCAGGTCACAGTGCACTGCCCGATAGTAGAGAACATCCCTAGGTATGTTGACCCTGGCTCTGCACCAGATTTGGGACACTATCTCGGTATTAACATGTTTTAGCGACCCGACTGGTTGGGTGGAGACCCATCTCTATTACACATGTACAGTGCTCATCCAGAAGATAGAACTTCTCAATTCATTCTCAACAAAACATCTGAATTCATCCCCAACAAACCAAACAGCTACAATAAACTTGACAGCACATCACAATATTACTTAAGCACCTGAAATGTTAAATATTGAGCCAAAACAACATTGATTGCATATATATTCATGTACAAGATCTTTTGATGCAACCATGTAGCAGTACCAGCAGCCTACCGCAAATCTCGTCAGCCACGAACATTTACAAGCTGAACGCTAAATGCTATGGAGTGCGACATCTTCACTCGCCCGAAAATGAACTTTCAGCATCCCCCCTTCACACACACTTAAGACTTTAAAACTTCAACCAAACAATTTAAAATGATTTTTTTTTGACAGTTTGTCCTACAGATGATGCCTTACTAAAGGAAACTGTAGTTGTGCCAAGTCTAAAAGGTTCAGGTACAAGCATCAATATCTCTGAAGAGGAAGTGGCTATTAGCAGCTTATGGATTATTTATAAGAAAATAATAAGCAAGTGGACATTTGTAACAAAAATATAAGATTAATCAAAGATAAGCATCATAACTTAGAAATAAATAAAAACCACTTTCAGTTTTGAGAGCAGTTAGCCTATGGAACAGCCTCTCGCAGCTCTGTTTATGGTAACGATCATATTTCCTGTAATACGCATTTTTTCTTCACTAATTGTTACAAAACAATTGGTGTTTTTTTTGTAATGTAAATCGTGTAAAACAGTTATGATACTGATAGAAAACAATTTATCAAATCAGTATCCCAACCTCTGCTTTAGATTTATACAGTATCAATCTTCTAGATCTAATTAAAAATGACAGATTGATTGTCGTTTATGATTAAGATTCCACCTCCAATGATGGTGTACCCAGGTATGATCCAACAGTGTAAAGTGGAGATTCACAAGTCAGATCATTTTTAACATTTGAACTTACCATTGGAGCTCTCCAAGAATTTGATTGATACAGATGTAGACCATGTGTAGCTGTCACAAAACTGGTTATTCCAAATTCTAATGCAGTTTTCCTATAATGTATGCATGGTCTTTCACTATTCCAATTATCTAGATTTAGTGTGGTGTTACATAGATAGTCTACTTCATTTACAAAGTAATCAGAATTGCAACATTTCACTGGAATCCCCAACACATATTTATGTTAATTTATGAATGGAGCATTTGCTTGAATTGATTAACAAAGTTCAAAATGTTAGGAATGGGATCATACTTGCCAACTTTTTGAAATTTCTGTGGGTGAGATTCTGCTCAAAATTAAAACCTAAATAACTTGTGTATATATACCCCTTATTGACCAAATACCCCTTTAAATGACAGATTTTGAGTTGTTCTTTCAAATAAAAACATTAGAGCTTAGAATATAGGAATAGTTTAGCAAATTCAATGGTTTAAATACTGAATTTAAGGGTCTAAAATTGGGATTTGTCCTCTTAAATAGGGAGAGTTGGCAAGTATAATAACATTGTCAGCGTAGATTAATTTCATCTCTCACTCGGGCTATGTATTTTCCCCCCTCCAGCCAATAAGGACTACTGGTGATGATGTTACAGTAAACAATTTTAATTTATATTAAATCATTACAATATGTCTTAAACCCATTTATTATGAAATTTGAAGTTTAAAACAAAATTTAAAACAAAATAGGACAAATACATTTATCAATAGCAGTAACATCTTTTGTCTATTATATTAAACTGTTTCTGTCTTGTCTGTAATTTTGTTGCTAAAGGTAAGATGTGGGATCTGCTTATTCGGAAACATCAGCAGTGACAGTGACATTGTTAAACATTTAAGTTTAGCATTTAGCTCTGTTTCTCAGAATTATCGAATTATTTTGGAAATTATACACAGTGATTTGCTTTGCTCAGTTTTACAGTCAAATACAGGCTGTTTCTCCTAGCTAAAAAGTGCTTATTTTCCCAAAATGACGAAAAAAATGAGGAAGATGATCCCAATTTCAATAAAAATAATGTTATATTTTCCCGATTCTCAAAGGAACAGGCTGTTGTAATTTTCTTCTTAAGTAAATTAATTCCATCGATACTTCAAGTGTATGCCATGTAAATGTGAACATTTACAACCTGTTCTGTTATGTGTTTTGTGAAAAAATCCTGACCTAAATAAGGGCACTAATATTTTCAGGGTTTTAAGCACGAGCTACTTGAGATAAGATATGATGGATGTGACTGTGAAAACCCTGGATGGACAGAACAGGAATTACAGTGTTCCTGAGGATGTAAGTCTCATTGGTAGAACTGTTTTGGCTCATGAATCTCAGACTGTCATATATTTTAACAAAACTATGCTGTGATGATGATGTTTTGTTTCTGCAATTATGAAATATGTGTAATAGAAGATAATTTGGCATTTACATGTAAGTGTAAAAGTCAATTGCAACAAGCTTGGGATAAGTTGAGTTTTATTTATTGGGAAACGTCCATCAGTTTCGCCCAAACAGTGGCTTCTTCAGGACCAACCAAGCCTAAATAAAAGAAACGGCGTTGGCCCTACATCTGGAACTAAAAATATAGTTCACATGCAAATCCACCAACAGGATTTCAGGTTCTGAGACGTCATTCACTGTGAAATTATTTTGTTCACAGTTTTGTATCAAATTAATGATGTAAATGAATGAAATTTACTGGTTTATTTTAGATAACTGTAAAACAGTTTAAAGAGAAAATTGCGAATTCAATAGTAAGTATATTGTTTTGACTATTTATTGAATTTTGTCTATAAACATAGCAGCCGGATTATTAGTGTTGTCCTTGACCATCATATATATAGTCTCTATTACACAAAATATAAGGTATCCCAGACATTCACGCCTTCACCATCATATATATAGTCTCTATTACAAAAAATATAAGGTATCCCAGACAAACACGTCTTCACCATCATATATATAGTCTCTATTACACAACATGTAAGGTATCCCAGACATACATGCCTTCACCATCATATATATAGTCTCTATTACACAAAATATAAGGTATCCCAGACAAACACGCCTTCACCATCATATATATAGTCTCTATTACACAAAATATAAGGTATCCCAGACATACACGCCTTCACCATCATATATATAGTCTCTATTACACAAAATATAAGGTATCCCAGACATACACGCCTTCACCATCATATATATAGTCTCTATTACACAAAATATAAGGTATCCCAGACATACACGCCTTCACCATCATATATATAGTCTCTATTACACAAAATATAAGGTATCCCAGACATACACGCCTTCACCATCATATATATAGTCTCTATTACACAAAATATAAGGTATCCCAGACATACACGCCTTCACCATCATATATATAGTCTCTATTACACAAAATATAAGGTATCCCAGACATACACGCCTTCACCATCATATATATAGTCTCTATTACACAAAATATAAGGTATCCCAGACATACACGCCTTCACCATCATATATATAGTCTCTATTACACAAAATATAAGGTATCCCAGACATACACGCCTTCACCATCATATATATAGTCTCTATTACACAAAATATAAGGTATCCCAGACATACACGCCTTCACCATCATATATATAGTCTCTATTACACAAAATATAAGGTATCCCAGACATACACGCCTTCACCATCATATATATAGTCTCTATTACACAAAATATAAGGTATCCCAGACATACACGCCTTCACCATCATATATATAGTCTCTATTACACAAAATATAAGGTATCCCAGACATACACGCCTTCACCATCATATATATAGTCTCTATTACACAAAATATAAGGTATCCCAGACATACACGCCTTCACCATCATATATATAGTCTCTATTACACAAAATATAAGGTATCCCAGACATACACGCCTTCACCATCATATATATAGTCTCTATTACACAAAATATAAGGTATCCCAGACATACACGCCTTCACCATCATATATATAGTCTCTATTACACAAAATATAAGGTATCCCAGACATACACGCCTTCACCATCATATATATAGTCTCTATTACACAAAATATAAGGTATCCCAGACATACACGCCTTCACCATCATATATATAGTCTCTATTACACAAAATATAAGGTATCCCAGACATACACGCCTTCACCATCATATATATAGTCTCTATTACACAAAATATAAGGTATCCCAGACATACACGCCTTCACCATCATATATATAGTCTCTATTACACAAAATATAAGGTATCCCAGACATACACGCCTTCACCATCATATATATAGTCTCTATTACACAAAATATAAGGTATCCCAGACATACACGCCTTCACCATCATATATATAGTCTCTATTACACAAAATATAAGGTATCCCAGACATACACGCCTTCACCATCATATATATAGTCTCTATTACACAAAATATAAGGTATCCCAGACATACACGCCTTCACCATCATATATATAGTCTCTATTACACAAAATATAAGGTATCCCAGACATACACGCCTTCACCATCATATATATAGTCTCTATTACACAAAATATAAGGTATCCCAGACATACACGCCTTCACCATCATATATATAGTCTCTATTACACAAAATATAAGGTATCCCAGACATACACGCCTTCACCATCATATATATAGTCTCTATTACACAAAATATAAGGTATCCCAGACATACACGCCTTCACCATCATATATATAGTCTCTATTACACAAAATATAAGGTATCCCAGACATACACGCCTTCACCATCATATATATAGTCTCTATTACACAAAATATAAGGTATCCCAGACATACACGCCTTCACCATCATATATATAGTCTCTATTACACAAAATATAAGGTATCCCAGACATACACGCCTTCACCATCATATATATAGTCTCTATTACACAAAATATAAGGTATCCCAGACATACACGCCTTCACCATCATATATATAGTCTCTATTACACAAAATATAAGGTATCCCAGACATACACGCCTTCACCATCATATATATAGTCTCTATTACACAAAATATAAGGTATCCCAGACATACACGCCTTCACCATCATATATATAGTCTCTATTACACAAAATATAAGGTATCCCAGACATACACGCCTTCACCATCATATATATAGTCTCTATTACACAAAATATAAGGTATCCCAGACATACACGCCTTCACCATCATATATATAGTCTCTATTACACAAAATATAAGGTATCCCAGACATACACGCCTTCACCATCATATATATAGTCTCTATTACACAAAATATAAGGTATCCCAGACATACACGCCTTCACCATCATATATATAGTCTCTATTACACAAAATATAAGGTATCCCAGACATACACGCCTTCACCATCATATATATAGTCTCTATTACACAAAATATAAGGTATCCCAGACATACACGCCTTCACCATCATATATATAGTCTCTATTACACAAAATATAAGGTATCCCAGACATACACGCCTTCACCATCATATATATAGTCTCTATTACACAAAATATAAGGTATCCCAGACATACACGCCTTCACCATCATATATATAGTCTCTATTACACAAAATATAAGGTATCCCAGACATACACGCCTTCACCATCATATATATAGTCTCTATTACACAAAATATAAGGTATCCCAGACATACACGCCTTCACCATCATATATATAGTCTCTATTACACAAAATATAAGGTATCCCAGACAAACACGCCTTCACCATCATATATATAGTCTCTATTACACAAAATATAAGGTATCCCAGACAAACACGCCTTCACCATCATATATATAGTCTCTATTACACAAAATATAAGGTATCCCAGACAAACACGCCTTCACCATCATATATATAGTCTCTATTACACAAAATATAAGGTATCCCAGACAAACACGCCTTCACTACCATATATATAGTCTCTATTACACAACATGTAAGGTATCCCAGACAAACACGCCACATACATAGCCAGTTCCCACTTCCTTGTGCACAGGATCTACTTTAAATGCTACATGGAACCTTTGATAATGTATAAATGTGTCTTAAAAAAAATGCATATTAAATATAACTTTTTTCAAGTTCCTGTGAATCCTACAGTGGGCTGACTTTGATGGCTTTAGAGAGCTACTATGGTTTAACTATTGTTACAGAACATATCGGCTGAGATTCAGAGGCTGATATTTCAGGGCCGGGTGATGCAAGATGAAAAACAAATGAAAGATTACGGTGAGTAGCTATAGGTTACCCATATAGTTACTGACCCTGCAACAGTCAACATTCATTAACACCTTTGACATCTTAAGTATAAACAAACTGAAGGCTGCTTAATTAAACTAACGGTAAAGAACTGTTATTTCGACTTAAGTGCTTTCCCTCCTATTAATAGACTCAAGTGCTTTCCGTCCTATTAATAGACTCAAGTGCTTTCCCTCCTATCAATAGACTCCAGTGCTTTCCCTCCTATCAATAGACT